ATATACGTCCAGCATACATGAGATCCAAATTCAATGTAATAAAAGCAATAGTCCTATATGATTCGGTTCTTTCACATGTACAAACATCTCTACCGTCACAAGTTCTTAACTGCACTCTTTGTTTTTGTTTTCCTCAAGACTTACGAGCATTTACGCCTACGCAAGTCAACGCATATACCCCGGACTATTGGCATAAACCGAATATTTTATTATGGTCATACTTTTATCTGCTGCTGTATCACATTCAACTTGCAACGATCCCTAGTTATTGCTGTATAAATGGATGTTGCACCTTTCACTCGCATACATGAAATGACAGTCCATGAGCACAGTCTGGCGTTCAGGTTGATGTTATTTCCGAATGCTCTGCAATTTGAATCGAAATCAACTAGAAAAGGCGTAAGTGGCTTTGGTTTACGAACTACTCGCATACTTGTGACTATTTCCGACGGTTGTAAAGCTAGACAATCTCTCCGCCAATATTATTGCGGATTTCGTATACATATCTGATATCTCAGACCTGTTCGTGCCCAGTCGACTGACTACAGACGAACAGACACAACCCGCATGGCATCACGAGAACAAGAAGAATACCACTAGCAAATACACTGAACATACCGGAATCTGTGGTATATTCAGGGCGATGAGAAGATGCATTTGATAAATACTCGAAACGTATTAATGAGTGTCGGGTTTCCGTGTAAAATTCATAGCAATCACCAGTCCAAGCAAGAGAAGGCAAATATTTACATTGTAAAATTCATGGCAATCACCAGTCCAAGCAAGAGAAGGCAATCTGAATCACTAAATCAAATAGGGTTTTTTTACATGTATGTGGTGCATGTATTTAAATATCTAATTAATTATTTGTAACTTCTAAGAGGGAGTACCAGAGTAAATAGAGTGGATCGTTATGGAATGGAAAATCAAAAATCAATGCACAGTGTACAACATGCTTTTTTTTTCTTAACAAAATACAGGGGCGATTTTGATAGATTAAATATTCAACTTGCCTTTTTATTTTATTTTTTATTGTTTATAATAGCCCGTAATATTTAGCCCGTGCCTCGTAGCCTGTTAAGTAATTTATGTATTTCCTTTTATTATTTAAATACTGTTTGTTTTTAAAAAAACCAAAACAAAATAATAGAAAATAGAAATTCGAGACGACGCCCAACACAGTGACACTCCTGTGAGTCCTGTCTTCTGACTCCTGACTCCTGTATGCCCTGCAAGCAACTCCTGCACTCTGGAGTAGGACTGCAGTCTGCAGGTCTGCAGCAGTTATACTTCTATAAGTTCTATTTGTTCTTAAAATACAAATTACATCTTGATACCAAGACTCCCCAGGACCCCAAGTGACATATTTATTTGGTAAAATTTCATAGCCTTCTTGAAAATAAATAGAATAAAAATAAATAGAGGTGACAACTGACAACTCACAACTGAGGCCTTCTCTCCTGTTGTCACATGAGAGAAGGCCTCAGCGGCTCCAGCCGCCTCAGCCATTGAACATGTTCAAAAATTAAAACAGATTTGGGGGGGGTTTAAATACATAACAAATTACATTTTCTTGAATCACAGGGGGAATATTGAAAAGAAAAACAATGATTATACTCTATAGAGCCTTAAAGGTATTTATGCCGTATGCGGTGTGACTGATATGTAGATCGTTGTCGCGCGCCAAATTCTGCACACGAATCAAAATGAGAGTGTAACTGTATTATGAAAAAATCGAATGGAGTGTGAGCCTTGTGGCGTCAGGCGTGAGGGATATGTGCAAAAATAAATTTGTTATTTTTTAGGAGGCTATGAATAAATACATCAAAAAATGACACCAGATACGACAAATTTTAATAAACATGTATATTGTACGCTGTAGGTATTTTATTTCAATTTTTTTGAAAGAGCTAATTTAGATATAATATATATAAACATATGCGACTGGATGCATACCCGCTCAATCCTGTGCAATAACTTGGAATTACGAACACGGAAGAATCGTGCTATCGTTGTAATCTACAAAGCGAAATATTTGTCCTTTTGTTGCGTAGTGCATTCTCCCAATATGGCGGATGATGGATCTGTTGGAGCTTCAAATGGAGACGAATCATCAACCTATCCGACAGGTCTGAAGTTGGGCTATACAGTTCTATTCGTGCTGGCTGTAATCGCAAATATAACCATAAACGCATACATTGGTTACAAGTTCAACAGAAAATGCAAACACCGATCTTATCTAATGTACTTCAATTTCACAATCATGGGTCTGATGTTGTTGATCTTCGACAGAATGGGCGATATTTGGTCATTGTGGGGTTATAATTACTGGTTCTGGTGGTGCTATATATTCGGTCAAAATTTGCTAGTGGCTGGTGAACTTATACGGGCCGTCCGTTTGGTGCTAGTAATGTACCCGGAAAAGGTGAAGATCGAGGCCAAAAAGCTAACAACCAGGGCGATGATTCTTGCTTTGGCCGTTGTAGAATCACCAGTCGTCTTACTATACGTTCTGCTGGCCACCACTGAGAACGAGATATATGATTACCTGTGTGTGGCTTATTATTGCTTGGAGTTGGTCCTACTGATTTTCTCCACCGCTTTACTGTGGCGAAAGAGAAAAGTACTCAGGCAACACATGCTTTCAGAAACCCGTATCCTCGCCGTATTCTCCACAATTCTAGCGCTGTTGATAGTATGGGATAATGTTCGTTACTACGGATTTCAGGTAAGAATACGACCGGTCAGCTAATTTGTGCAAGCGAAATATTTCCTGTTGCATGGTTTGGTATATTTAAAAAGTAGAATTGAACACATGTTCACAAGTACGACTACTTTATATTTCTAAATAGTATCTATTCTCAACTGCAGGAAGATGCATACGGAGAATCAGCTACGACATGGGCTTATGTTGATTTGGCCACTCTAATAGTAGTATCAATACTATTGTATTGGATTTGGATAAGTCACATCATTATCATGTGGGTTCAAGACTTCCGCAGCGTATCTTCCGCTTTTGGTTCTTCAGAGGTTATCGAAGATTTCAACAATAAGAAATACCCGCCAACCCCCATTGGAGGAGGTACATCAATATGCGACGAAAGTGGGTAACGAGTGCTCCCTCAACTGCTATTGTACATAAGAATCCGAAAATAGGATCAAGTCTAAATGAATGAATAAAACTCGCCAACATCATATTATCTATGTATTATTACTATGTACTCGACAACATATTAGCGTATATTACTTCAGTGGAGTATTCTTGACCTTGAGCTGTTTGTAGAATCTGTCCGCGCATGAATAGTAAACATGCCCTATGGTCCTCGAGGCACGCAACGGTTCACACATTTCAAGAAGCTGGCGTGGTGGATGCTAGTACACGTATATACCCGTACAGACATTTCAGAACTTTCAATAATTAAGTCTGTCCCTCTACATCCTCCCCCCTAAAATAAAGGTCGCGTGTCGAAACTTAGATTAGCTGTCAAGCTCGACGAGTAAATATCAAAATGTAGTAAATAGTGTAAACGTGATAAATAAATAAAATTGTTAATCGCTCAAGTACAGAGCTATCAATACCTGTCCAACTACTCTATGAAGAAGAGCAGATATTTTATTCAAAAAGTATAAGGGCTCAGCACAAAATATCAAATTAGTAATATTTCTTTGTTACCAGTTTATTAGTCGCGATATATTCGATATGGCCGATGTGGATGAGGAAGAAGAGGATTTCGTTTATCCATTATCCCTCAAAATATGCTGGACAGTGGTATTCGCAACGACTGCAGTTGCCAGCATACTAATCTCGCTCTACATTGTCGTAAAGTGGCGTAAGCTAAGTAAGCATCAGAGCTATCTCATATTCTTCGTATGGACACTTTTTGGGAGTGCGCTGATCCAGTTCGATAGGTTAACAGACATGTGGGGGTATGTTGAGTAACACTGCTTGCACTACGTCAACTTAATTGATCAAACACAGTGCTATCAGCCCGTCGAAATATTCGATGCACATACATTGATGCTGTGACTGGTTGAAGATTTCGATTCCCTAAAATGAATAGAAATAATGAATCATTTATCGTCGTACTGAATTCATATTGTATAAGTAGTTACGCGGTCAGTAGTGATCAATTTACGTCTTCGTTCATTCCACATCGGTTGTAAGCTGCAATTCCAGTAGAACGACGTAAAGGGCGCATTGAACATTTGCCTGCCAAATACACTCGATAAAGATATAATAATAATGGTGAATATGACTGGTTCAAGCTTTATTTGTCGTATTATGTGCAGCTGCTCCTGGCCAGTTGTGATCTACCTACCAATATAAGTGTACTTTACTTATCTTATATAAATGAATTTTACGCGATTCCATAGCGGCGATAACAGTAAACTAAAATTGCTAAGTATCCTGTTCAACCGGTTGTAAGCTGCTTGTCTAAACTCTAGAATTGTGGTACGAAACTGACATAATGACATGCATGCTATATCAAAATTTTGCAGGTGGTTGTCGTGGGATTACTGGTCTTGGGGCTTCTATGCCTTTGGCCAAAATCTGCTGGTTGCACCTGAGCTTGTAAGAGCATCGCGCCTAGTCACTATATATTATCCAGAGCACGTGAAGCTTCAAGCCAAGCAGTTATCGTCACGGTTTATGCTGATCGCGTTGGCCGTGCTGAATATTCCAGTACTGGCATTTTATATGGCTCTGGCGTTGACAAAGGACGAAGTCTTCGATTATGTGCTGTATGTAGCTGCTTCTTGTCGAAATTACCTCGATGTGAGCTCGCCCGTACTTCGGGCATCATTCATAGTAACAAATCTACAAGACAACTTACTTTAGGCTTTCTTCACACGCACAGGGTGACTTATTATTGTTTGCAGCTCTTGTTGCTCCTTATTGCAACATTTCTGCTGTGGAGGAAACGACTACAACTGAGGCGGTATCAACTATCTGAGACCTGGAACTTGCTGTTCTTCGCTACAATGCTTACAATCCTCATTGTGTATGACAATGTCCGCTACTACGAGTTTCAGGTATCTATGCTCAGTATAGAATTGATTCAGATGTCGCAGTTCACATTGTATTATATTTTTTATTTCCTCCAGTACACGCGTCAATCGTGTCTTCTGCTTCTACACAACAGGAAGAAGCATATGGACAGGCAGCTTTGCATTGGGAATACGTGGATGTTATTAGCAACGCAGTGTTCACTTTAATCGTCTTCCGGGTATGGTACAAGCACATTCGGATCATGTGGATTCGTGACTTTGGCGACGGATTCCCGAGCCATACCAGCGCCTCGGATTACTTTAACACGGACACTGGTATGGGGAATACGATACAGAGCGGGTTTAACAACGGTCTTCGTAGAATATCGAATGCGGGTATCTATGTGGTCGGTACAGTCAGTGGAACTATGCGCAGACGAGCAACCACTACTAATTTAAAATCTACAGACGACACTATAGTGGAAAACCCCAACTCTCTCTCTCACGACCGTGCCTTGACCATCGCCATAGGGGGGGTCAGAGCAAGAGCCATGACCAGCATGTGCATGACACATAATACAGTAATGCCGGAAGATGCACTGATTGAAGAAGCGGACGAAGACTTCAACAAAGAGCGTAGATGGAGCCGTTTATCCAAGTGCTTATCACACCCCAGCAGAAGCTCACAGCAATACGAGGTCAATCAGTTCAGAGACTTGGACTTCGACGCGTTTACGGCTGCTCCTACTTCGAGTGTGGGCACCTTCCTGGGAGAGAGTATCAGAAGCATTGGCAGGCGATTGTCCACTACGCGACAATTATCGATGAGAAGTCTGCGATCGACCACACTTGAAGGAACACAGAATGCGAACCCCGATAGAAGGGCACAGTCACTTCCTGACATTTTATAGCTCCATTAAATATAACACTTAAACTAAGTATACCATAATATAATTTCTATTACAAGCTTTTGCAACCGAGAACATAATTACAATGGTAAAAGTTCCTTTTACCCTACGACTTGGTGCTACTATTGCCACCAGGGAGCTGTTGCCAATATTAAATGCACCGTGTTGGCCTTTGGGTATAGAATAGCGTCATAGTCCGAGTTCATGGTGTTTCACTGATACATAAATTAGTCTGCTACTATACGACGTATACATTGTTCGAATATATATATTGGTTCACGATCAGGTGAAATACGCAAGTGAACCTAGCCAAGTAAAATCTTCAAAACTAAATGCGTTGCATGGCCGGGCAGAATTGTACGATACGGTATTATGTTTCACTAATACATAATCCCAGTCTGCTACTATACGACGTATACATTGTTCGAACATATATCGATTCACGATCAGGTGGAATACGCAAGCGAACCTAGCCAAGTAAAATCTTCGGAACTAAATGCGATGCATGGAAGGGCACAATTGTCCGATACGGTACTAGGCACTAAACCATGAGAAGGCTGGGACCTGATCAGCATGAGTATAAGAGATTGATAACCTTGGAAACAGCGGTAAGTACAAGACTTACTATTTGTTCGCCGAAGCTCGCAATAAATTCGAACCGTCCGACGATTCCAGTTTGCAGCAATCTCGAATCTGTACTCTGTAGATATTTTGTTCATACCCTATTTGCACACCAATACACTACAGATATGGAAGGTTAGAGGTAACTAGTTTCACCTCTCCCTCATAAGCATCAAACTTCCTGTTTCTTCTATACGTAACACATGCTAGTTCGCATCAAACCTTACGGTGCATCTCAACTAATATTTGAAAATACACGGATGTGAATGAATTATTTTATAGTAAAAGCATAGAAAATTGGTAAATGAATAATCCGATCAGACGATCACCCACAAGAAGTTGAGGTAGGCTTGAGGCCAAAACTATAAAAACATAACTCTTCTATCTAAAACAGATACAAGGCTGAAATCCGAGAATCAATTATCTCAAATACATATTACCCAACAGTCAATCTTTAGCTCACAGGACAACATATCATATATATATCATGTCTGGTCTAGGTGCGGCATGGTCAAGCTACTCACAGCCCGACCCGGCTCAAGAATTGTATGTATATGCGGAGGGTTGCTTTTGTCCTCTTATGCGTACTATATCTATCGTCGAAGGAGGGCAGTACAGACGGTTGCAATTTTATTATCTTCTTACAATTGAATGTCGTAACGAAATACAAGTCTATATAGTGAAGACATTTAGG